CACCATGAGAATCATCTAAAAGGAGCAATCCAACATTTAGGTAGGTACCCACCCACCCACCCACACACACACACACACACACGCACACACACACACACACACAAAGATGAGTGGAAGCTGTGGGAAGCTGTCATAGCCTCGTCTCATCTTATAACTACAAAGCTGCTTGATTTACATCTCTCTGGTCTTTACACGTGTCTTGTTTGTTTTGTAAAATCTGAATTTGTTGCATCTGGTGCGGCACAATACATGTTTCAGAGATTAGTGCGTGACTTTTATACTCCTGAATAAATCCTGAAGGTGTGTGGCTGTAGGCGCCATTAACGACACTAATAATATCACTGCTGGCGTATTAATATGATAAAGTAGCTCATCAGTTGAGGTCAGAGGAGCTGGATTCCCGTGGGGAGCTGCCGTGGGTGGAGGCTGCATGTTAATCTTCTCTGGGATATCAAAGCCTGGTTCATTATGTATGGAGGCAGCGTGACTTTCTCTCAGCTGCTTTGACTTCTCTCTGTTTACCTGCCTGTGAATGTAAACGCCTCCTCAGGCAGCCTGTGCTGCGTTCAAAGCCCAGCCCCTTGGATAGGCTTCTAATTCATTTTTTGGCATCCCTCTCTCCTTCTGTCTGTCTCAGTTCACCCCAGTTATAGCCCGCACAGTGCCGCCAACTGCTGCTGCTACTGTAAATAATGTCAACCTGTGAGAGTCTTCACAGCATGAACTTAAAGATCAGCTGGTTAGTTGAGGGTCATTTATCTTTTGGTTCTTTTCATAACAGATTTCCTATTTTATTATTATTTAAGTGCAGGCAGGTATTACACAGGTTTGTCTCTGGTCAGGAAGCTGCAGGGGAAACGTTTGAGAATGAGAAAACAGGAAACAATCAAACAAATGTGATGTCAAAGAATGATTTGTGTGTAGAGTTAATTCCTTTCACTGTATTCACAATGATCAATGATGTGGTGAGTCTGACAAAGCGACAGACGAGTGCATGATGAGTTAATTACAATGAAGAGGACGACAGAAACGCTCGGCAGCCATCTTCATCGACTGCCGTCACACATCTACGACCTCCTGACAACCTCAAGTACATATGAGGATCTGCAGAGATCAATACATGGCATGTCTCAGAGCAGTGTTTAACAAGGCGTTTCAATGGAGGCCCTTGGTGAGTCACCCTCATTTGTGGCTGTGACAGCTAATATAGCAGACTGAGTATGACAGAGAAGGCAGCAGTAATGGCTTGGGATACTTACAGGAGATATTACCTGCCTATTATCAGCAGCACCACATCTTCCGAAAATGGAAATTGTAGCAAGTGACTACACTCAGATTCTTCTGTACTTTTTTGTTGAGTTTGTTAAGTGTGATTGACTTGTTTTATTCCAGAGTTTTAATAGAGAAGCCACATGCAGGTACTGCAGCTTGGTAGGTGAATGAGAATTAATTACAGTCAAACAAAATGAAACAGTCTTTTGAGAAACCCAAACATTTTTTTACGTGGCAGGTAAAAAGTGCAGAAACAAAAGGTCAATCCTGACATGAAATGAAACTGACATACAAGGTTATGCAAGTGTCAACCAATGTGAAACAAGACGAACTGACAAGGGGAATCACAGACAATATATTCACAATGGAGTCAGCGAGGATTGAACATTGGTGAAACACATTAAGAAAAGGTGCACACGATCACGAGGGCAGGAAACTGGACAGACAGGAAATAAAGTCTGAAACACACAAGGAGCAAAGGGTAACTGCCAATAAACTGAAAAGACCCTACAAATGAAAATCTGGTGCAAAAACATTCTGTCAATAGCTCATAGAGTTCAGGACAGATTTGAAAAGTTGATTTAAAGTTTGTAACCTTGTTGATTAGTAGGGGTGGACGTCAACATTTCTGTAGATTTTTTCCTGCCTACTGTAAGTTAGTAACGGAGGTAAGCTGTTGCTGTTTTGTTTCTTCATCTTCCCTTAAGTTAGCAGTTACTTTCTGGTGAATTTTGTTTTGTGACATTCGATATTTGAGGTGTAACGGTACAGGTGCGTTCTTCTTTTGGGGGCTCCAAGCACATGTTCTGTAACACCTCGAATAGACAAGCATCACATTTTAAGCAGCAACTAAATTGACCGGCTTTTCACAGACGACAGCTCACTTTACCATGACTCTCCTAGTTTCAGTGTCAACATCCATTGTGCAAAAAATATCTGCATTAGTGGAGACAAGGCATACATCTGTCTCTCGTACTCAAACCTCTTAAGGTAAAATCATTTTTTTACACTTTTATTACATCCACTTTTAAAACTTGGCTCTTCAAGTTACATTTCAGCTCCTTTTATCACTCTCATTTAAATGATACTTCAACTTAGTTGCGTGCTTATGCTGAACTTAATCATTCAGTTATTATACAGTTTTATTAGACAGTTTTTCCACTGGTTTCTCCACTAGTCACTTCACATCATTTCCGATGTGTTCATACTGTAATTTTATGATATTTTAAGATATAAATGGTCCTGTAGGGAGAAACAGAATGATTTATGTAACTGTGATTCCACTGAATAAATAATCTCAGATATAACTGAAAAGTTTTGAATGTTTATTTGATGTACAGGTGTTATTGATTTACCTAGTGTGATGTTATCGAACACATTGCATTAATTGCATTTGCAGGAACCAGGAACAGAAGACACGTAGATGTTTAGTAAGTAATGAGGTGTTTGTTGAGTTTCTATCTACAATTAAAAATGTGGCTGCCCTGAGGCTTAAAACTAACAGTCTGTTTGCTGTATTTCCTCTGAACTGGGAAATGTTCTTCTCAGTGAAATGTATTCTGTTTGGTTGAAGTTCTTTAGTTAAATCTTGAGATGTGTTGGAGATTTTGTAAATAGAAAACTATAGATGTTGGCCTTTTCTAGTCTGTGTTAAGAGTATCAGTAGAAAGATTGTGAGACGAACATAACCTCAGCATCACTTAAATGCTCCCTGAGCCTTTCAACTGCACCTCACACCATGTATCAGTACATTGACCTGGCACATGTAGATGGTATCACAGGTCTCTGTTAAAGATAGTTTCTGACATTAGATGTGGATGTTGATCATCAGTCCTTGATCTAAACATAAATTTGGCCATGAGAGATGCAATCAGAGATGCAACTTGCTCTGATGAAAATGAGTGTAAATCCTGTGGCATTATGAATCCGCTTCATCAATTTACAGTGATGAGAGAGTTTCTGAGGCTGCCCTCAGAACAAACCCACTGACAGAGTCAGCGTGACTGTTGCTTCTTGCTTGCAGCTAACATATACAGTACTGTGTAAATATTTCAGGAAATTGAGATTTTTAGATTCCAGTTCATCATGAGCTGCCGTCAGGAAGGCATGTGATCAGTCCCAAATTCATTATGCAACATGAAGTCAAAGCACACATCCAGAGCTGTGAAGACCAATGTCAGGGAATCAGGGAATCATTCTGGTATCACATGAAGAAAGAAGACACTGACTCAAATGCCTCCACACAAGAACTGTGGCAAACTGTACATGTGTTTGGAGGTAACACAGCAGATATTGGTATATTTGCTCTTTGTATATATTGAATTAATGAATAAAGATTTGTAATGGTATTATCTTTGGGAGCATTCCTACTTTACTTGATGTTTTGCACAATACTGTCAGTGATACATGGCATGAATAAAGATGGACAATACAGTTGTCGAGTCTGCACCAATGACGCAAATTGTGAAAGTGTCTATTGTGTGAATACACCTACACAGTCCTCAACAGCAAGTTTGCTAAAAGAGAACTAATTAAGATTGTTTCGTTAACTCCTTTGTCCAAGGTCAACAAGAAACTGTAAAGTACAACTTCAAAACAGTGATCCTGCAGAAAAAGTTTGAACATCTATGTTTCCCTCTCAACAGAGCAGACTTCTTGGTGTCCTGGTTGGCGCCATGGGAAAATCCTGGGATCACCAAAATTAGTTGAATAAAAGCTTCACAAAATCTTGAAAATCAGATGTCATGTGTTCCGAAATAAATCTTCCACTAACAAAGTAAAACAACTCAGATACAACATCCTCAGTGTCTGAACAGTAGCAGCAGAAAAGACCGGTAAACTATTGAGAGGAAATCTCAGGGAATCGCTCCACCTGTCTGCCAGACCTCCCCACAGACACGATAATGAGCAAAATCCTCCATCTGGCAGCTCGCTTACAGCCAGCCCAACCCAAAAAACTGTTGTCTGAATGTGCTAAATTTAATTCTGCTCTAATTAGTTTTGTGTCGAGAGGCTGCAGAGCAGGCTGAGTCGAGCCTGTGGTGATCAGAAACCACTCAGTCATCAATCATTCACTCAGAACAGTGTGGTTTGTAAAAGTCCTGCCTCTAAAATATACTAATGATCCTCACATTAATGTTTAACATGTATAGAGGCTGAAAATGAGATTATTGTTTGAACTGTACTCAGCACGCAGCCTTCAATTTGGAGGATTACACGATTACAGACATGTGCAGTGTACCTTCACCACCTTCAGCCTGTCCTGTGCTCTGATTGGCTCGAGTTGGGTGGAGCTGTCACCAACTCTGACTAGATTTCCAGCAGGTTATAAATCCCTGATTCCATCCTGGTATATTTTTCTGGAGTTAGCATCAACTCATTTTCCTCACCACCATTCTTGGGGTATAGATCTGCCCTGCTACACAGAACTGGATGCTTGCTTTATAACTTTGGCTATAAATGAGAAGCAGTTCATGTAAACTTCTGTCTGAAACCAAGATCCCATTGTCACAACTATGATTTTTTTAATGTTAAATCTGCCACTGTTACAATTGTAAACAATGGAAGTGCCATGTGACAAATGTGATCAATTGATATTTGTTCGACAAAAACATACATGTGTATGAATTAATGATGCCCCTTACAGTGCGTGTTTCCACATATAAACTCTGCTGGAGGGCTAAACATCACATAAAACATTACATTATTTATCAGTGAGGCGCACTCACCCGCTCTTCCGACTGTGCTGTGCCAAAGAAGATGGGGATGAACGCAAGCCAGATGATGCAGGTTGTGTACATAGTAAATCCAATGGGTTTGGCCTCGTTGAAGGTCTCTGGCACGCCACGTGTCTTGATGGCATATACGGTGCACGTGACCATCAAGAGGATGCTGTATCCCAGAGAGCAGATGAGGGACAGGTCAGATATGTCACACTTGAGCACGCCACGTGCGTTCTCAGGATCCTGTGTGCGCTGCTCCCCGTAATCCACAAAGGTGTGCGGTGGGTCGAGAGTGAACCACATTAGGACGCCCAGCAGCTGGACTGAGATGAGTGAGAAGGTGATGACTAGCTGGGAGGCAGGTGAGATGAAGCGCGGTGCCGTCACTGCCTTCTTGCCCTGCTCAAAGATGCGGTGGATGCGGTTTGTCTTGGTGAGCAGCGCAGCATTGCTGAAGCACATGCCGAGGCCGAGAAAGATGCGGCGGAAAGAGCAGACGACGACATCAGGTGCAGCGATCATGGGGAAGGTGATGATGTAGCACAGGAAGATACCTGTCAGAAGTACATAGCTCATCTCCCGCCCAGAGGCACGCACGATGGGGGTGTCGTTGTAGCGGACAAAGGTAGCGATGACGAAGGTAGTGGCAATGATCCCCAGGATGGAGATGAAGATGGGCACAAGAGCCCAGGGCGAGTGCCACTCCAGTTTGATGATTGGGATGGACTGGCAGCCAGTGCGATTCTGGTCTGGTCTCTTCTCGTAGGGGCAGATCTCGCAGGTGAACTCGCTGGCTTGGAAGTGGTATCCCTCACAGCGCTCGCAGTGCCAGCAGCACGGGACGCCCTTCACCACCTTCTTCCTTTCGCCAGTCTGACAGGGCCGACTGCAGACGGAGGTGGGAAGAGGGGAGTCGCCAGAGGTCCACTGCAGGGCCTCCATCTGAGGGGAGAGAGGGGAAATCTTAATATTCATCTTCAAGCTAAGAAACAAAACAAGCAGCTCAACAATATCTCAATGATCAAAAAAACACATTTATTGATTTATTGATTTACTGATGCTTCAAGCTGTTAACTTAATATCTTCAAACTCCCTCTAAAACTAAACTAAAACTGTTTGAACAGACTCTTAGAAAAGAACAACAATTTGAGCCTATTATTGGTGAAAAAACTTTTAGTGGACATTTTGTGGCCTCATAGTTGCCCCACAAGATAACATTGTGTCCTCTGGTCGAAATCATTTTATTCTTAATAGAGAATTATGAAACATGCTTTGTCACAGAGCAAAACTCTTTTGTTTCCAAACTTGATAAGTAGTTGTTTGAATTAGTTTTGTCAAATGCTGTTTGCAAGGTCAACAGTGAGAATGTGAAAGTGTTCAGAAACATCCGAAAGTTGTCGACGCTGTTCTCCATTCAAACTCTAAAACATCCAGATTAAACAAGCGGACCTTGAGATGAGATTGTTTTGCCACACTGATTCTAAGATCAAGAGCAAACTTTTAAACTTGCCATGTTTCATATCCCACTGTTTTGGGTTTATTCATTAAGAGGAGGATGGGTTAATGAACCAATTTAAATACCAGTACTACCATCTTTAGAACCAGGCCTACCAGCTTTAGAACAAAAAACAAATCAAACATGAAATAGACAGAATCAAATTATTTCCAGTTGAAGATGTTACAGTTGGAGGTTAGTGGTCCTCACATATAGATGCAGCTGATTGGTCCAGTGTCCGATGACCTTGTACTCTGCTGTCGACCCGTTGTTGATCTGATACTGGAAGATGTCATAGCGTCCAGGGGCATCGCCATTCTTGTTAAAGATGACAGGAGTCCCTGCACTTCCTGTGAAATCACAAAGCAGAGAACAGACTCTGACATCACATATTGTTGGGACCTGGGAGAGGGGTCGAAAATACTCTCTGGGCCAGAGAAGGTTTTATCAACATGTCAGGGCCAAGCTAGTATTTTACAGTAGTTTGATGAGGTCAGACCATTTGTCTCTTCCACTGGTCAGAACTGCCCTTTTGTAGATGTCTCATTGTTAGTATAACAAACTGCATTTGACTTGTCTCTCTGAATTGTATGTTTACAGCAAGAAAATGTGAAAAAAACTAAATGATTCATTATGTGATTTACAGCAACCACGGCCATCAAATCATTTTTAACCAAACCAACTGACACTGTCAATGTTAAAAGTACAATTTGTAGAATTTTGTGATATCTAGTATTGAAATCACATGTTGCAGCTGAACACCCCTCACCTCACCCTCTCCTTCCAAACATGAAACAGAACCTGTGGCAGCCGTCGTTGTCATAAAAACTCAAAAGGTGTTTAGTTTGTCCAGTCTGGACTAATGTAAAAAACATGGCGGCCTCCGTAGAGAGGGTCCCCCAGATGTAAATATAAAGTATTTAAATATAAAGGGTCTTTTCTGGGGTAAAGAAAACTACAATTCATACAATTTAGATGAAATGAACTAGTGAAAACACCATGAGGATTATTCTACATTAAATTTCTGCCAATAGTTCCCTTTCACCTAAATCTTACACACTGGACCTTTAAAGAAACAACTATAAACACTTTTCAGCCCTGTGTAATATAATGGATTTAAGTGTTTGACTCTCAAAATGAACTTGTGTTATCAAATCTCACAACTAAAATGTCAAATTCTGAAAGTAATTGTAATTTATTCTGTGATTACAAAGTTCCTGATTGAAATAATATCCCAATGGCTTGAGTGGATGCTTGTGTATTTAGCCTATATTTTTAATGCAGATCTTCAAAGTAGAGGGCAACACACACCAGCAGCATCAGTTTATTAGGATACCCCGCTGCCCTATCGACAAGGATTAATTATTCAACATTAGTCATCTGCACTTCCTGGATTAACACATATCTGCTCAAATAATTGATTTGTATGTGATGTCTCATGCAATGTATCTAATGTCTGTGTCTTTTGTTAGGGATTTATATATTTATAAGGATTTCTCCCTTCTCTTGGTGAATTCTCAAATTTCTTTGCTGTGTTGTGTGTATCTACCATCTCTCTATCTACCCCTCCATCTATCTATCTATCTCTCTCTCTTTAAGGCTGTCGTTCCACCATTCTTCACATATGTTGTATATATGTTCATATAAAGATAGAATACAGAAGGACAACATAAGGAACAATTATCACAGCAAATCAAAATGGAAATTCATACCAAGTACAGATATGACAGAGTGCAATTGTGAAAGTGTGTAAATGAGCTAGTTAAGCGTAAAGGATGCTAACTTCCACAGAATGAAGAGACACTTATTTTCATTCAAGCAGGTGTCGTGAAACAACAGCCGGATGGCACTGGCCCACACGCTATGGAAGGGACGGTCCTCACAGTCTAATATGACATAACAAGGAACTGTCTGTTATCAATGGCCACAAGCTTGGTCTGACTTTTACCTGAGCTCTTACCGGCTAATTTAATAAGACGTGCAAATGTAAGTTTCTAAACCAAGCAGTATCACCACATATCCAATTGAAACCTCAATTAAAAAAGAGTTATTACCTCAGCAGAAATAATATAAGAGGCAACAGCCCCCAGGTAAAGAAATAGTGAGACCTGTTTAAAGGCACATCAACCGACAGTTTGTTATCAAAAACACCGATGTGCTCCCACTATAACTCTACTACAAGCTGATGTCTCAACATAACCCTACAGTTGGCCAAGGGCTTAGACTTTCTAAAATCAATGATCAAGTCTTTCATTGACAAAGTTAAATGGAAGAAAGACTCCAGTCACACCAAGACACAAAGACATCCACCACTGGCCCATGGTCCCATTCTGCCTCTTCAAGTAGGCTGACAATAACAGAAGCATCAGCAAACTTAAACGTGTCGATTCCTCCAGTTGCTGTGACAACAACCTTGAGGGGAAAATGTGGATCAGTACAGAGCTGAGTTGAAGTGAAAACATTCAGGTTAGGATCAAGTTTTCAGTGGCAAATGTGTTTTCCCTTGATGTGTCTGGTTTGTAAGCACTTTAAGTATCACAATACTGCACATAGAGTTTATCTATCATACTCAGGCAGTACATTTACAACCTTTTAAACCGTATACCTAACATTAGTCAAAAGATAGATTTGGTTTTATAGGGCAGTACTTTCATGTTACCTTGTCCAAGCTATTTAAAGGCAAAGACAAATTAATAAATAATAACTTTAGGCCTGGCACACTTATTTCAACCCTAAACCGATTTTAGAAACTGACAGATTCCTTTGATTTCTAATATTACAATAGACATACTAGACAAGTTGGCCAGAATTTATCCTCCTTAACTCGATGCTTTGTTTTCACATTCAGTCCCTGGATCTGTTTTTTAATCTTCAGCAACTGTATTCACCATGCAGTATTATTATCATACAGTGGAGCTGTATTCCTCGCCACAGGGAAAATTTAACACAGGAGGACAACAGGCCTGAACTTGAAGTGGATTAGTTTGGAGCGGCTGAAGCCGAGAGGAAGAGCAGCAGATTGGAGCTAAAGAGCAGAACAACAACAACAACAAGAAAACTGATTTATAATGAAGTGAGTGGGCGCCGGTTTGATTCTATCCTGCCCTGATTTCCTTCCTCAACATGAATACAAGCATCACAAATCACATCAGCGTGGAGATGAATCACCACAGTTCGCCTCAGGGTGTGGAAACACCCCCCACCGCCATCACCACCTCATTCTCTACATCCCTCACTTCACTTCAGTTCACTTCACAGAATGTGTGCTGATATGGACTCAACGTTCCACGTTATTTTCCAAATGTGGGAATCAGGATCACTCTGCAGTGACGCGCTGCAGCATTGTCACTGAACACAATGAGACGACCCAAAAACAAACAATCTTCCCTGCAGAACAAAAAGCAGATGTTACAGTGGAGTCCAGAGTAAAAAAATATTCAAATGGACCACACACATGATTTATTTATTGAGATTTAAATAACATATTTTATATAACAGACTATTTACACAAGTAACCTTCATTTAATTTATTTATTTCATCTAGTCTGAAGTCAGTGACTTCATTCCAGCTCAGGTGGAATGGGTTGTTTTCATCTAACAGAATCACAAAATGTTGCAGATTAACAACAAAGATTCTTGAAGTCGAGCACCATCTTGGAAGTCAAGGTATTTAGTCACAAAAATGTTGAAACTAGATGTGATGGTAAACTGCTAATGGTCAATGTATTTCTTTTGATTTTATCTGCTCAAATCCACCACCTTTCCCTGACCAACAGGCTTTTATTGCTGTAAGAGAGAGGCGGGTGTGATCGCTGAACTTTTCACACCCACCATCCATCCTGAGCTCTGTCATAAATGCAGTGCTTCTTTCACTCCGAAAACCTATATAATCCAGCCAGAGTTGGTCATTACAAGATAATAGGAAAATCAATTTGGGATATATTTTAAATTTGACCATAACTGATAAAATGTATAATTTTTGTTTTTTTAAATCTAGTTGCTCTCTTAATTGAATTTACAAGTCTGAAGCTGGCACCTAAATATTGTTGACTAGACACACCATTGTGGATGTATGCCTCCATCAACCAGTGCAGTTTCAGTCTACATACATGGGAAGCAGCATGGGAAGCAGATACGAAAAAGAAAATAATAAAATGACATAAATGATGAAAATCATACCAACAATTACAGGGAGGTGTCAGTCAGAACGAGCGGCTGATGTGAGGGACATGTTGTCTGGGCTCCTTTTGCAAAGACGGCTTCAGGTTTATGGTAAAGAGAGGCAGATTGGAATGAAAAGGGAGCTGTGGCCCAATCTGTTAAGGTCTGCTGCCAGAAGGACAATGCTCCACCAATTAATGATCAGTCATATACTGCACTGTATCATAATGGCTTCTTCTCGTTCACCCACTCACGCACGTACACATGCACACAGTAGAGCAGCTGGATCACATTTGAATTCTAGATTTCCAAGAACCAAGTGGACCTGCGAAGACTTGGAATCAGGTCGTCACATCAATATTGAGTACATTTTGCCGACATTGTCCTGCAGTTGGTCTGTTGGATGGACAAGGCTGTGTTTTTAAGCCTTGTCTTCAATGGGACACAGATATTCTGCTGCAGGTGTTGAGTGTGAGACTGCTGATTGAGGTCCGCCAGAGGTTCGTCTTCAGAAACACCAGGAACTACATCAGCCTCTGTGACGTTTTCTTTATTCAAACTTGTTTCCACTAAGCCCTTCTCCTGAGAGTAAACCATAAATACTCAGTCAGGATGTTCAAATGTTCTGACGTGATTTGTAGACCTTGCTTCCAGGTTGTTGATACTGTGCCTCCTTGCAGCTGCAGTTTGTCAGCAAGTCAGAGCAGGAAGAGATGTGATCCTCCATCAGTTGAACCTTTTGACCTGAATTGATCCGACAGCAGTGGGTTTCTCTGCTGCCCTGACAGAAAGCATGTCTGAAACACTGCAGCACAGGGTGGTCTCAGAGTTTTATTGAACCAGTTTCCAGTATCTAATGTTTACAGGGACTTTGGCGGATGGAGTGCATGGTTAGAGCTGCAGCCCGCAGCTCAGCGATTCATCCGTGTGATCATGACTCCAAACTTCACATTTACACAAGTTTCTCTGCATCCTCATTCCAAATAGAGATTTAGTCACATTCCGTCCTTTAGTTGTGAAGTATTTCAACTTCTGAGCTTTCATCATTTTTGATTTCATGCATAATTTCCTCAAAGTTTTGGTCCTAGTGACAGCTTTTATTCCATTCAAGCTTCAAAGAGCAGAAGAAAAGTTGACACCTGCAAATTTGCAAACAAAATGTGTTTATTCATGCTAGATTACAGTAAGT